GATTACCCAAACTTGGGTGATCCCTGTCCAAGGAGGCAGGAAGGAAAACTGAAAATATTCCTGCAGTTGGGCAAGTTGGAGCCAAACAGCACTGTAAGAATGTGTGTGATTAGATCAGGACCAGTTGCTGTGTGTGAGCTCTCTCCCTGTTAGCACATCTACCAGCTCATCAATGTCCATGGAAGCAAAAGGCTGCATCTGCCTTTAACTGGGACAGATAAACTGCAGGCAAGCCAAATTCCTAGGCATGCCTGCACATGTCTGTGCAGAGCTATAGTCTCTCTTGGTGATCTCATTTAAACATAGTCAAAATTATTAAAAGATGCTGCTATATGGATATGACAATTCGTGCAAATAAAATTGTCATATATTTTATCGTTATGTACTGTTAAGATACTCTTCTAAGAAGTTTTTAAAAACACACAAGCCAGCGACAGGGATTGCAACACAATGTTGAAACCACCTGGACAAAGGAGGGAGGACTCCATTCACAAGCAATTGAACATGATGCACCAGAGTAGATGGGCAGCTGGCAGGAGGTTTGTTTATGACTCCAGTGGTGGCTGGACTTGCTCTGCTGTTTGTGTCTCCAAGGTCTGACTCAAACCCAGTTCAAGCCAGAGGAAAGAATCCCAGCAGTTTAGCAGATATAAAGCTGCAGCTCTGGAAAGGATAAGCTTTTGGTAACACATCCTTTCATAAGTCTCTCTTCTTTCTGACGTGCTGGTGACTCTCCTCAAGCTGGGGTTTGCTGGTGGTTATTGGGGCATGCACAAACACATTTCATCCTGCTGCTGCTACCCACATGATGCTGCACCATTGCAAGAGATTCTGGCACCAGTGCTGTACCATCTGCACACCCCAGATAAATGCTCTTCCCTCCTCTTGGGCAGTGCCTGGGCCTCTTGGGCCTCCATTTGCTGCCCTTTTGCCTTTGCTTTGAGATCATAGAATGGTTTGGGTTGGATTGGGCCTCCAAGCCCACTGCCTTCCATGGGCAGGGACACCTCCCACCAGCCCAGGTTGATCCAAGCCCCATCCAGCCATGTGGCTCTATCTCTGTCTCTATCATTTCTATCTCTGTCTCTATCTCTATCTCTATCTCTATCTCTATCTCTATCTCTATCTCTATCTCTATCTCTATCTCTATCTCTATCTCTATCTCTATCTCTATCTCTATCTCTATCTCTATCTCTATCTCTATCTCTATCTCTATCTCTATCTCTATCTCTATCTCTATCTCTATCTCTATCTCTATCTCTATCATCTCTATCTCAGTCTCTAATCTCTAACTCTGACTGCCTAAATCTGTTTATTCTAATGCAGCTGAGGTCCTATGGAGGGCACTCATGGCCTTCATGGTGCCTCCCTTTCCTAATCCAAGTCCAACAAAATATTCACTTAAATTTATTCTCACTCTGGAAAACCTCTGTTCCCCCCAAGAGTAAGGACAAGGCTTACAGAGAGAGGACACATTTCATCAGACCAAACAAGACAGGCCAAACAGCCAGGCTTTTGCTCTGCCAGTCCTTCCTTAGGGTTTTATTAAGAGATTTCTCCATGGTCTCCCCTGGGCAAGGACAGCTTCCTGGTGGATGTGCCCGCAAGGTCTGCGATTTGTAAGGCAAAGAAATGGTTTTGATAATCCACAACTTGCTTAACAAGGACTCCCCACGCACAAATGGTTGCTTGTCTTCAAAGGAGTGCTTCTGGAGAACTACTTTGTGGCCAGTCACTCAGCGTTACTGATCCTCATTAGACCAGAAAAGTACACGCTTTCCCTCCAGGAAGAATGTGTAAGTGTTGGAATGTCTAACGTTAGAAATTATTGAAACTGAGCAGTTTGAAATGGTCATTTTTCCTACAGCTGGAATTTAAAAGATGACAGTTTTCTTTCCCGTGTCCATTCTCATTATTTATCAGAACTTTGGCTGTGATTTTACATCCCTAACAAGTAAAATGGATAAGCCAGACCCCTTCCGGGCCACCGCATCCCATCTCCTTTGCCTGCTGCTGCTTCAGCCTTTACCAAACGCCTGCACTGCCACCTTCTGCCTGGCTTACATCTCACAGCTGAATTTCCACCACACTTTTGGTTTTTCTTTTGCTCATCCTGCCGAATTCAGGATGTATGTCCTAGGAAAGCTTGGAATACAAAGAAGAAACAACACGTGCATATGCACAATCAACATGGTCTGTAAACTGATTTTTTTCCCTAGCTGGTCTCTATTAATTGTGCTGTGCTTACTTCCTAGCTTTAATTTGGAGGAAGGGAACTCTCCAGTGCTACTCCCCATGACCCAAAAATATGAAAATATTTTGCCCAGAGAAGCTGTGGCAGCCACATCGCTGGAAGTGTTCCAGGCCAGGTTGAACGGGGCTTGGAGCAACCCAGGATAGTGGAAGGTGTCCCTGCCCCTGGCAGGGGTCATCTTTCAGGTCTCTTCTAAACCCAACCATCCTGTGATTCTAGGAGAAGAAATCCAAGTGAAGCATAACCATGGCTTAGGTTAAAAACAAAACTCCCTTTTTTCTTTCTTTCTTTCTTTTCTGATGGCATATTAGCTAAATGCAATGTCAGGCTGAAGGGGAAAAAATATCTGAAAGCCAAGTGAACCCAGATGTACTTTAAACCCTCCCACATCACCCATTTTAAAGAATTCTTGGTCTTTTTCCTTTTCTGATTGAAGGAAGGGATACCAAAATCCCCCTCTACTTAGAAAAAAAAATGTTCTTAGTGAACATGCTAATCCCTGCAGCAGCCAGCCTCAGGCCAAGTGGCACTTCCAAGCAGGAGCAGGTCCTGGAAGAGAGATGGGCTGGGCACCGTCTCCTGGAAGGCATCAGAGTCATTAGTGAATGTCTAAACCCCAACCTTTAACAGAAAGCCAGTTCTTGCAGGCTCCAGAGACCCGATGCATGCAGGAAAAGGTTGGGAATAATTCCCCTGCATCATAAACAGGATTTTTCCCATGCTGAGGGAACAGTGGCATCTGGTGTTGGCTGGGCTCTCCTGCAGCCAGCGCTTCCCGGGAGGCTGATGGACATTCCCTGGACATGGGCAGGGTTTGGCTCCCCAGCGGCACCTGGGCCATGCAGGATGCCCGTGGGAAATGGATTTGTGGAGAATTCTCCAAGCCTGACAGAAGGCTCACAGATCTGCATGTAAACCTTGAGATAAGAAGTGCTGACTTAGAAATGCCATGGAACAGGACAGACATTGTTGAGAGAGAAATGGAACTAGAAACGAGTTTCAAAGGATGGCCTTGCAAATAACCTAGATGCTTTGGAGAAATAGAACTATGAAAGATGCACTGGAGTAGGACCCACGAAGGGTAATTTTAGATGATTTGCTTTAAGGCATCTACAGCAAGGTGTGGCAAAAGCTGATAGGCCAAGAAATACTTATAGGGTATTGTAATTAAAAAACAGCTTCTGATTGTCTTGGGTGAATTATAACATCTGTATTGTCTCACCCTTCTCATGAGACTGGAAATGGAATAAAAGTTTTTAAAACATGTCTCAGTTGCCCCATCTCTGGGTCAGAAAAGAACTTAATCCAACAGGGTCTGGCTCCCCAGTGGCACCTGGGACATGCAGGATGCCCAAGATGTCTCCCCAAATATCAGGTGGGGGGCTCAAGCCCATCTGAATGGCAGCTGGAGGCCAGGGCAGTGCATCAAATCCCAAACCGCTTCTAGTGAAGCAGGGAATCGCTCTGTCGGGGCAGGAATTCCAGGACCCAGGACTGTTGTGCATCTCCCTGGTATTTTCTATGGAATTTAGAAAAGGCAAACTGCTCTCTGCATTTTGCTAGTTGAAATACAGTTTATTGGTCTCCTATCCCACTGCATGAAAGGACATTTCCTACGGAGGTGGACACCATGACCAAGTTGAGCCTGGATCAAGATGGAAACAATTTCTGCTGGCTCCTATCATTTTTCAAGTTGCAGATTTTCCAAAGCTCTGCATCCTTCTACTTCACCAAAGGCTGTTCTGCAATATTTTCAGGATACCCCAGGACCAGTTTTAGCTGAGTGCTGGGACTGACAGGCTTTTTTCTGTTCCTTTTGTGATCAGTCCACAAGCAGAAGTTCTGAGCCAGTTACTCCTCCCGAGTGTGCAAAGGAGCAGCTCCGCTCTCATCCAACAAATCCCAGCTCCTCCTTGTGGCTGCACTCAGAAACTCTCAGCAGCTAAACTCACTCAGAGATACTGATTATTGTGCCTTTTGGGCAGTCTGCCCTATGAAGTTACAACAAAACGCATTTCGGTGACCGAAATCAGAACTGGTCTGACAGCCCTGACAGCGAGGGGCAGCTCTGCACGGGCACTGCTGAACGCTGACCTCCGTGGTCAAACAAGCAGCACAGCTAAAAGGATTTCTCTTCTTGCCTCTGAGGTTTCCAGACTCATCAGGTGGTTTTAAATAACAGCCAGCACTGTAAGTGACAAGGTGCCAAGGGCTGATTTTGGGTGGCGCTGGGTACCTTGGCACGGCGCTCCTCAGAGCGTGGATCTCTCTGTTCCATGACAATTTGTTCAAATCAAGCCCTGGATTTGTCGTGGACCAAAGTTTATTTTCTATAAAAACACATGAGGTTTTCCAAACAGCAGCTGAACTCCTGCTAGAAAAAAACAAATCAGTAGGAAATTGGTACCTAATGCCAAATCCCACTGAAATGAAATTTGATCCCCATCATCTCCTACAAAGACTTTGGTCTTAGGCTGGCAAATGTAACTCTCCTAAGTCAACAGGCAATTTAAAGTGTGTGGAGAACAAGCTGCAGAGGCTCTACAAATATCCCAACCCTTTTGCTATCAGCAGTCAACATAAACATTGTTACCTGAGTAGGTTCACAGAGAGAGTAAGAAAGGCTGGTTTTGGAAGGTTTTCTTTATTAAACTCAGCTTTTGCTGCTGTTCTGAGTTGACAAAAATGTTTCCCAGGAAGACTGACAAACAAAAACAGCTCATAAATATATTTTTTTTTCAAACACTGTCAGTACAAACAAATAAAAGCTCTGGTTTGCTACTTTGGGAGGCCCTGTGTAACCAGCATTTTCAACTGGCCAATTAAAAGCATGTGTGTTCATCAGTGAAGAACTTCCACTTGTTTTTAAATGATCAAATCCAGTGTTTAAAAATTATTGCTCGTTACCAGACAAAACCCCAAGATTAAAAGGATGTTCATTATACCATCCCTGCTGGTAATGTGTGAGAACCCCGGGATTGATTCGGGGCTCTCGTGTGGTGGTAAAGTCTCTCCTCCAACCTTTGCTTCCAAAGAAAAACTCCGCAGCCTCTTGTTGTTCAGTCTCAAGGCAGTTTATTGCTAGTTATCTAAAAGATTGTCCTCGCCCGCTGCGGCTGCTTTGGTCAGCGGCCCAGGCAGAGACTCACACACTCCTGACACCCTCACTGTCCGGTGTCTCCGTCGTCTCTCCCCCCGCCCAGGGCTGCTGCTATCTTTTATATGATATATTACGTGTTATATGTTTACAGATTTTCCCCAATACCTACTATCCATGTTACAATGTGCTCTTCTACTCTAAACCAATCTGTGAGTGCCAACATCACCAAGAACATGGAGGCAAGGAAGAAGAAGGAGGAAGAACAGGATCAGGCCCACTTTCCTCCATCTTAGAACTCCTGACCCCCCTGTACAAAGTAAAACCCCCCTGTACAGGTGTTAAAACCCCCCTGTACAATACTAAAAAATTTTCCCCTCTAATTTGTAACTACTTTTACTATACCATCTAACCCTCTGTGACCGCTTGTTCCACCTTCAAAGTTGGTAACTCATTCCATGGCTCAAACTCAAAATCACAGCTGTTTTCAGCTGCTTGCCAGGGTCTAAAATGCTTCTGACCAAGGCCTGGAACCTCTAAAAATGTCTGAGGGACATTTTGAGTTCCGACACTCCCCCTACCTTAATCATCCCCAAACTTCATCTGTCTCATTCCAGACCCCAGACCACCTCCCTAATCCCTATCCCAACCCATCCCACCCCTCCTGGACATCAAGACCCCTTCCCAAGCTGTACTTTTCCCATTTCATACCTCCCAATCCCCATTCCACCCTTCCTGCCCCACCCAATGCTCATCTCACCCTCCTGATTTGCATCCCACTTTGCCCAATCCCCTTCCAACCCAATTTCACCCTGAGAGGCAGTGGAATCAAGTAATTTTGGGGTGGGATTCAGTAGTTTTTAGTGGCACTGAGTGGTTTTGAGCAGACAGATCAGTCCCTCTCATCTTTTGGAGTGCCAAGAAATAAAGACACCTAAACCAAATAGCCCCCAAACACCCCCATATCCTCACAGGTATCTCCTGGAATCCAAGATTCCCCAAAACACAAGTAAGATGTGAGGCTTTAGATACCTTTGATGAATTTGTTGATTTTTACCCCAATTTTCTGTGTTTGGAAGGGAGGACGATAAAAGATAATAAGAGGCAAAATAAAATAACAGCAGCCACTTCCCTCTGTGTATCACAGGGCATGTGGGTCACCAGGGCTCTGACCAGGGTGGGTCCTCTGATGGGGATGGAGCTGGAGCAGCGCACGAAGCTCTTCCTGCAGGCGGGGTTCTCGCAGGGCTTCCCTTACCGGTGCCTCCGCTGGTGCCGGGTAAAGAATGAGCGGTCTGAGAAGCTCTTCCCACACCGGGGACACTCGTAGGGCCTCTCCCCGGTGTGGATGCGCCGGTGGGTGACGAGGGTGGAGTTGTGCTTGAAGCCCATCCCGCAGTCGGGGCAGCGGAAGGGCCTCTCCTGTCTGTGAATCCGCTGATGTACAAGGAGATGGGAGCTGGTGTGAAACCTCTTCCCACACTCAGGACACTCGTAGGGCCTCTCCCCAGTGTGGAACCTCTGGTGGACAATCAGGTCAGACCTGTGGCTGAAGCCCTTCCCACACTCCCCACACTCGTAAGGCCGTTCCCCAGTGTGGATCCTCTGGTGGCAGATCAGGTCAAAACTCTTCCTGAAGCTCTTCCCACACTCCAGGCACTCACAGGGCCTCTCCCTGTCATGAAGCTGCTCAGGGACCACCAGCTCTGATCCCTGGCTGAAACTCTGTCCACCTCCCTGGCACAGGGTAGGACTTTCCTCCTCAGACACCCTGGGCTGGGTTTGCAGCCCCTCCTCGTGCGGGATCTCCAGGGTTTTTCCTCCCCATTCGATTCCTCTGCCATGGAGCCACTCAAAACAGCCTCTTCCACGATGTTCTGCTGTGGGGATTTGTCCTCCCTGCTCTCCATCCTCAGCTCCTGCTCTGGGGGAGGAAGGACAAGGAGAGGATGGGATTTGCCTCCGTGCCACAGGGAAGGGCAAGGAGATCCCCCCAGTGCGTCCCCGGCAGGAGGGCACCGGCAGCGGGGCTGTCCTGCAGCCGGGGCCGTGCTGGGCTGGGAGATGGAGCAGGAGAGAGGGGGAAAGGGGCACTGACTTCCTCCTCACCTGCCTGGGTGTCCGGGGGCATCTTCCTCTTCCTCACAGCCTCCTCCTCCATCCAGCCAAAGTTTGGGAATGGGAAATCCTGGTTTGAGGAAAAACAAGGTGTGAATGCCTTGGGTTGGGGGTTCCTCCTGCCCAAATCCATCTCAAGAAGTCTCCAGGTGTCCATAAAAACCTCCAAAAATCATGAGTGAATAAAAACAAGCCACCAGGAGTGTCCCATTTCCATTCTCATCCCTCTGGGGTTCTGGTGTCCCCCGTCTCAGGGCTGCTGGGGATCCTCATGGGCCCTGGGGATCCCCCTTCTCCAGGGTCCTGCTTAGGGATGCTGGGGGGTTTTGCAGTACAAGGGTCCCCCTCTCCAGCCTCCCCCCAGTCCAGGCACTTGGGGCTCCCCCCTCTCCCCACCACCCTGTCCTGGTTTAGGGCAAATCTGGGAGAAAACCCCCAAAGGGGATTTTCTAGAAAGCAGATTCAAGTGGCCTCTCCCCCACCAGTTCAGGAAAAGATTTCCTTGGAGAAAAGTAGAAAAAAACTGTTTATTTTACAGGCAAAGCATTCACCAGCACAAAAAATGAACAATATTAAACAATAAAACCTGTTGTTGCTCCAAAAGAGATGACAAACTCAGAAAGTCCCTCCGTGGGCTGCAGCTCGGCTCACTCAGTCTCTGATCAGTCCCTCCATGGCCCAGGCCCAGCCCGGTGGGCCACAGGTGTGAGCTGCCGGTGCTCTTCTGGTGTTCAGTCCAGAGCAGGTTTAAACAGCTCCAAAGAAAAAGAAAAACCACAGCCCAGGGAACTTCTCTGCCTCAGCGAGCTAAAAACTAACTAAAAGCAAAGGAGAGCTCTGTCCTGCTGTCTGTTGGCAGACAACTGATACCTCAGGTTTAAGTTTTTCTGTTCTGTTTTGGTGTGCAGCTTCTAGCTTTATATTAAGTGTTCCTGGGATCTTTTCACAGGGTGGTGAAGACAAAACAATCCTGTTCTAGCTGGAGAGTCAAGGACAATCTCTTCAAACTTCAGGCCCAAAGCACAAACAACAGGAAAAGCATAGGGCAGGCAAGCAAGGAGGATGAAACTTCATAATTTGAAGCTATTAATTGGGCAGTTAAATCCTGTATGCAAATGGACTAACACTTATAAAAATGTGAGCTCTCATGACCAAGCCCTCTTTTGCTTCCATCTCGGAGCCATCCGGGCAGAGCCCCGACCCTGGCTCCGGTACTGCCGGGGTGTGGCCTTTGAAGGCACTTCAATAAATATCCTCTTTATTCCTCTTGGCTCCGTCTGGCCTCTGTCCCAGCTCCTTAAGGCATCTCAGCAGCCCAGGAGCCGGAATGTGGAGGGGTGAGTGCAGCTCCTGAAAACAAACTGCGCGCTTCTTCCTCCCCCTCTTCGCTCTCAGAACCAGCCCTGAAGGTGCAGAACTCATTTCGGGGCCAAACGGACCAATGGGGGTACGAGCATCGTGAGGTCACCCCAGGACAGGCCCTGCCAGGCTCAGGGGTCCCGTCCCCGCCTCATCTCCGGCTGCCGGGGGTCCCCCAGCTCCGGTATCGCCCCTTCCCCTCTGCCGCCCCGGGGGTCCCACGTTCCGCAGCCCCGGCTCTCACGGGGATCCCCAAAACCAATGTCCCGCCCTGTCAGCACCGGGCCAGCCCCGCGTGGTCCCCCGGGACCCTCCGAGGGGCGATCACAGCTCCTCTCCCCCCGAAAAAGCTCCTCTTGGGGAGCCCGGAGGGATCCGGGGCTCGGCATCTGCCGGCTCCGAGCGCTCTCCAGAAAAATCCTCCCGGAGACCCCTCGATAGAGCCGGGGCGAGCTCGGCCTCCCCCTGCCCTGCGGCTCGGGGCTGGGGCGATGCTGGCGGGGCAGGGGGTGCTGCAGCCCCGGCGTGCGGGCGGTGCGAGCGGCGGGATTCTCCCGCTCCTGCTCCCGCCGCTCCTCCTGTCCCTCCTCCTCCTCCCGCAGCCCCTCCGCTGCAGCCCGGAGCTCCCTTTCCCGCCCTCTGTCCGCGGCCCCGCAGCCCCGGCTGTGGGTGGGGGAGCCCCCGGCCGGCCCCGGGGCGGGCAGGGGGCTCGGGGACCCCCCCGGGGCGGGTCCGTCCCCCCGGCCCGAGCCCCGAACTCCGCTCCGGGGCCGCGGGGCGCTGCGGGGCCGCCCGGCAACTGGTGACTCATCGGCGAGAAGAGCTCTGGTTGGCTGGAAATTGTTCAGCGCCTTCTCTGATTGGCTGGAACTGTGAGCGGCGCTGCGCCCGGCGGGTGTCCCGGGGAGCTGCGGAGGCCGGGCCGGAGCCTTCTCCTATTTCTTTCTGTCCCTCTGAGACCTTTTCCGATTTCTTTCTCTCTCTCTGAGATCCCTTTACTATTCCTTTCTGTCTCTCTGAGACCTTTTCCCGATTTCTTTCTGTCCCTCTGAGACCTTTTTCCGATTTCTTTCTCTCTCTCTGAGATCCCTTTACTATTTCTTCCTCTCCCTTTCTCCTTCCCATTTCTTGTTCCGTTCAATCCATGTTCAGTCAAATCCGCAGGTTGCGCTCCCAGGGTCTCATTTGCGCCTTCGCTGGGGCTGAGGCGTCTCTCCCTCCCGGGATCGGAACCCGCGGGCAGGCTCCGTTCCCACCCCAATCGTTCCGGGATTCTGTCAGGGACTCGCTTCCCTTTCCTCCCTCCATCTACAGGGAATGTGCTGGGAAATGTCCAGCAAAGCCACCTTTGCTGCGTGCTGCAGGAGCCCACGGAGCTGCTGCACCTTGTCCCCTGCCCTGCACAGCTCCTTGGGAGGCACGGCAGGAGCAGCACCCTGGGAGCCTCGGGAATGCCCCTCTGGGATCCATGGCACACACTGCCAGGGGCTGGAATTCCAGTTCCCAGCCAGGAAAAGATGTTCCTGCCCTTGAAGGCAAAGCTCTTAAGAAGGGGCCAAAAGCCAAGTGCAGCAGGATCCTACAGTGACATTTCACTGCCAGCCTTCATAACTTCACCCGTGGTTGTTGTAGTTCCTGCACTGGGAATGAAATCAGGGCAGGGCCTTTGGTGGGAGCTGCCCTGGGTCAAGGGAGACACTGAGAGAGAAACAGAGCAGGCAAAGAGAGGCAGGAGAGAAAGGAGGACACAAACACAATCAGCTGAGAAGGTGGCACTGTGAAAACAGAACTGCAATGGACTAAAAATTAATGTGACAGAAAGAAATAATTTTGTAATTTTGTAATTTCCTAGCAAAACACATTTTCCTGTGTTTCTCACTGACCTTGTCCTGGTGTCATTCAGCAGGGCTGTCAGAAAGTTCATCATTCTGAGTGGATGTTCCAGGCTGCAGCCACAAGGAAACAGGGAATGGGGATTTTCCTGCTCCTGGGGAGTGAAACGCAGATGAAAAATTAAACCCTACATTTGTAATAAAGATTTGTAGGGAATGGGTATGCTTATTTATAGAACTGTGGACGTATGTCAGGACTTATTGCCCTTTAATGGACATGCGTCCACAGCGCTATAAATAAACATACCCATTCCCTACAAATCTTTATTAGAATTGTAGGGTTTGATTTTCATCCGCGTTTCATTATGGCGAGCCAGGCAGGAGATTTTCTGTCCTCGCAGGGGCAGGGGGTAGAACAGACCTCCTTGGCACACCCGGGGAATTTCCCTGGAGGGGCTCCGCTCTGCCTCGCTTGCCACCTGCGGAGACAGCCAAGGAGCGCTGGTGTGCGATAAAGGGCCGGACTGAGAGGGCCCTGGGGGAGAGAGAGAGAGAGAGCCAGGACTGCTGGTCAGTCACTCAGAGCCGCCGCTGTCTCTGTCGGGGGGGTGGGTGCGGGGGTCAGGACGGGAGGGCCGCTCGTGTGTCCGTGTTATGGGTTTTTTTTGGTCTGTTCATGCCACAAACTGACGTGCCCCCCTCTGCTTCCCCCCCACCCCACCTGCCCCCTCCCTCACCCCCGGGCCCCGGTCGGGAGGAGGGGGTCCCGGGGATGGGGCGGGGTGGAGGGGAGGCACGGCCCCCCCAGCCCGGCCTCCTGCCCCTGACCCCCCCTCCGGAGGGGGCCCACCCTGACCCCACCCCCCAGGGACCCCCTCCTAATGAGGGGGCCCTTCCTAACACCCCCCACCCCGGGACCCCCTCCGGAGGAGGGGCCCTCCCGACCCCCAGCCCCGACCCCCGGTGTGGCGAGCCCGGTGTTGGACCAGAATGGGGGGACCCGCAGAGCGGCTCCGGCCCCGTGTGGGGACCCCAGCGAGGGCGGGGGCGCCGGGCTCCGGCCCTCGGGGCTTTATTCTCCGGCACCCCGAGCCCCGCGGCTGCCGGAGAAAGAAGGAAAAGGGGACGGGAAGAGAGGAAGGAGAGCAGGGCATGGAAAGGGTGGGGAGGGAGGTCGGGCTGTGGAGGAAAGCGGGAAGGGAAGGGAAAGGCCGGCGGGGGGAAGAGGGACGGCGGACAGAGGAGGGAGAGGGGGAATAGAACGGAGTAGCGGGGCAGGGACAGGAGAGGGAGGAGTGGGGGGGGGAGTCACGTTTGGGGGAAGAGGAGGGGTGGGTTTAGGGGAGAAAAACCAGAAATCTGGAGAGAAGGAAGGTAGAGGGTGGGACGGGAGGGGAGGCTGAAAGGAGATGAGAGGGAAAGGGGGGGAAGAGAAATAAGGGGAATACGAGCGAAAGGAAGGAAGGGTAGAAAGGGGGCACGGGAGGGGAGGCCGAAAGGGGAGCGAAAGGAATCAGCTTTGTAGAGGAGAGGAAAAGGGGGGAAAGGCAGAAAAAGAAGGGGAATGGGAGCAGAGGGTGGGGAAAGAAGAGAAGGACGAACCTGCGAGCCCGGACAGAAAACCACCCGCCAAAACGCGCTCAGCGTGAGCAAAGGGCGGCTGAGGCGATTTCCGGGAATTAAATACACTCGGCCCCGCCCCGCGCAGCCGCCCTGCGGCCCCGCGCACCGGAGCCAGCACCGGGCCCCGCCCCTGAAGCTCCGCCCTGGGCCAGCCCTGCTCCGCCCGGATAGAGGCGGGGCCATCACTCCCGGCCCCGCCCAATGAAGGCGGAGCCATCGCTCACGGCTCACCCGGGCCGGGGCTCACCCGGGCCGGGGCTCACCCGGGCCGGGGCTCACCCGGGCCGGGGCTCACCCGGGCCGGGGCTCACCCGGGCCGGGGCTCACCCGGGCCGGGGCTCACCCGGGCCGGGGCTCACCCGGGCCGGGGCTCACCCGGGCCGGGGCTCACCCGGGCCGGGGCTCACCCGGGCCGGGGCTCACCCGGGCCGGGCCAGGGCTGCCGCCGGCCCTGCGCGGAGCCCACAGCGCCGCGGCGGGGCCGGGATGGGACCGGGGATTCTGGTTCGGCTCCCGACCGTGCCGGCTGGGGGTCCCGGGCAGTGCCACCTCTCCCTCGGCGGGCGGGTCCGGGTCTCTCTCGGGCCGCAGGAGCAGGCCGGCGCTGGGGCTGGGATCAGGACCGGGATCGGGACCGGGACCGCCGTGGGCGGCGGGAGCCGCTTCGGGCCGGGCGCCGGGGCCGAGCCGGCGATGCCGGCGATTTCCTGGTGCTGATTGAAACCGGCCGGGGCGTGGGGACCCCCGTGCTGGCCCCAGCACCCTCAAACCCCGCTGCTCCCTGCCGTGCCAGGGAATTTTCTTTTTTCCAGTGTAGGCCGAGAAATTTTTATGAGAAAACTCAAAACTCAAGGGTGTGGGATCTGAGGGAAGAGAAGAGATTCTGGTATAGATTCAAAATGCATTGCGAAAAATAACATGGAACAGCTCATTTCCTCTCCCAGACTGGTTTCTGTGACTGCTCCGGTGGGATTGTCAGCCTGTGGGGCTGGAATGACTTGCCAGGTGCTAAGCACAACAGAAAATAACGGGAAAACTCTCCGGATCTGGCAGTGGAGCCTCTCAGTAGTGCCCCGAAAGCCCAGCAGTGCCCAGCATCTCTGGATGGAAGCTGAGGGGTTCCAGCACAGCCCCTCTGCAGTGTTCCTCTGGAGCCGACACTGCCCAGCATCCCTGAACAGGGTTTGGGGGTCCCAGCACAGCCCCCTGGCACAGGCCCCCGGCTTGTTCAAGTTCCCTTTAACCAGGATGATTTTCTCAGGGGTAGGAGCACCCAAAGCCAGCAGAACTGGCCTCAGCCACTTTCTGTGGGATCTCTTCTCTTCCTTCCTCACGAGATTCCCACTGTCAAAACCCAGTTTGAGGCTCAGCTCCCCATCCCCTCAATCTCTCCAAGTAATTGGGCTTGGATTTCCCAATCAAGCAGGGCAGAAATGCTCTTGTCCTTACTGTATATCCTAATTGCAGTAATTGCTTAAGAAATAATTGAAAGAAATTAAAGGAATGAAGAGAAATTAAATAAGAGCTGCCAGCTCCAACTAAGGGATGCTTAAACCCCTTATCAACAATTTGCTTTAATTAACCAACTCAAACAAAGTAATTAACACCACATTGATACAGTATGATTCTTTTTAATCAAGTTATAGACAAATATTGCAGAATGTAAAAACCTTTGCAAATCCAGAAACTCTTTCAAGAGATAGACAGGGCACAGCTGCAGAGAGTATTGGGGTTCAGGGGGAAAACCCCAAAGTTTTCAGTGTTCAGCATCTTCCACCATGTCATCATTGACAGCAAACATGGCTTCAGCCTCAGGAAGACACGGAGAGTCAGGGATTTTACAGATCCTGGTCTCACCTCAGCCTTTCAGCAGGTACAGTCTGCAGGGAGAGGGACGAAAAAGGGTCCGAATGGAGAGCCTACTTCCAGAAAATCATCACCATTGATAAAGCAGTAAGTAGAACTGTAAGAATGTAGTAGATAGGGACAGGCGAACGGAAGATCCCGGGATGTGACGGAAAGAAAGACCCTTGCCCCCTCACCCTGCAACACGTTATCTACCACCCCCAGAACATGTAACCACACCTAACCCAGTAGTTTTCCACTCCTGACTAACCCTAGAGACCCTACCAACCCCCCCTGACGTAGCAAAGTCCCCCAAGACTATTTAAACCCATGAGATAAGATAATAAAGGCTTTCGACCGTCCACGACATTGGTGTTAGCGTGTGTCGTTAGCCCGAGTAGCCCGGACTAGGCTGGGCTGCCGTGCTGCTCCTTGCAACCAGGTCGCCGTTGCCTCCCCTGAAGGCAACAAAGAACTTCCCCAAAGACTCCTTTCCCTGCAGACTGAGGGCTCTAAGTTGAAGCACGGGCTGGACCTGCCATGGACAGACTATGAGAACCCCAGAAGTAAAAGCTACTGGGCCAATTCCATAAAATATTCCAAAATCAGGCTCCTGGGATGTGGCCATTTCTTCTCTCACCTGGTGGTGGAAGCACAAGTAATGATCTTCCCTCCTGTGGGTTTTTTGGGATCTGCAGTGAACTGCAGGGGGAAAAAAATAAAGCCCAAGTGTTTCCCATGACTGGAACAGTAAAGTGGGGAAAAAGGATGCAGGGGCACTCCTGGGGTGAGAACTGGGATCCATCCTCTCCACACCAATGGAAGCAGTGACTGAGTGACAAAGCCTTTGGGACCAATTTGCTGGGATTCATAAGAAAACAGATAAGTTTTATTTTGGCAATAAAGCCAAGCTGGTTATAACCTCATCAGCCGGGTACAGCAGCAGCATCAGCAGGAACCTGGCCAGGTGGATCTGCCTGGCAGAGGGCTCCCCACTCCCTGGGAATCTGTGTGCTACAGGGCTGTGGCACTGGCCATTAAAACTCCTGCCTGTCCCTTCACAAGGCAAGGTGGTTTTTCCATACAGCAAATGTTTTTTGAATTAAGAAGATAGCACTACACTCAACTGGAGAAGAAAAAAGTGAGATCTGTTAAAGTTTCCTAAGCCAGGCAAAAAAGAAAGCCAAATCAAACCAAAACAAAAACTAACATAACAATGGAAAAAAAAACCCATATCAAGCCTATTTCAAGAGTTTAAATAGGAATGAGGTGACTTACTTAGAAAGCTTGAAAAGCTGCAATGCTGCAAAAATCTAATGCTGCAAAAAATGCCTTTTCTTACATCACATTTTAGCCCTGAACTTGCAAAAAACCCCCACCAAACTAACAATTCACCACATACGGTTCTTGAGTCATTCCTGTCTTTGAGCACGAGTCAAGCTAAAGCTATTGAGACAAGAAAAACATAAGTTACTTAATACTGCTCCTTTGGGAATTACAGAATCACAGGGAGGGTTTTCCTTAGCTTAGGAAAATGCACACCCAGTTGAGCACATACTGAATAGCAGGGAAGTCAGGAGATAAATGTTTTGCTTTCAGAGACAAAAATTTAAATAAATATTTACATTAAACCAGAAGTCTACAGATTGTCTGATCAGAAGTCTTTATTAAGAAAAACAGCCCTGGGGTATCCTCTTAAGGGACACCAGAGGAACTCCTTGGCTGGGACACAGCCTCGGTCAGCACTGTTCCCATGGCTCTCTGCTCTTTCCCAGTCCTTGCAATGTTTCCAGAGACCCCAGAGGATGGCAGGGCCAAGGCTCCTGTTCGCCCTTCTCCTGCAGCTCAGCGTGTATTTCCTGTCACACTCACCAGTGCAGAGCAGCCACAACCACTCGATGGTGCTCAGCCTTGGCTCCAGAGCTTTGAATATCACATCCACCTGCAAAACAGCCAGGAATAGGTTCTGGCTTACACACAGGATTTGACAACACAAAGAGCACATGTGGATGTCAGAAAGGGCTCAAATCTCATCTCACACCACCGATTCTTTTCATTTGATTCTTTCCCTGCTGCTGTCATACTTTGAAAGCTCACCCAACTCTAACATCCACACAGTGAACAGTTTTCCAGCCTCGGTGTCAGAGCCACACACTCAGCTTTAGCTGGACAACCTTCAGTCTCCACAGTCAACTTCCTTACACTATTTGCTCCCAGCTCTTCCTACCTGCAGTCACAAGATTTTAGTAGAGCAAAACATCAACTTGATTTATGATGTTAGATTTCAATACAAAGCCACAGCAAAAACATTGGGTCCATTTGCACGAAAGGCAAGAAGAAACATGACTAAAAGTTAAGTGAAAATCTGTAGAAGTGAATCAGAACTAACTAGAAACAACATACAAAATTACTGAGACATAAATAGGAACCTAATGCCGTGCTTGATAAACAGAAAATGCTAATTACCATGAAAATTGAAGGAAAAGTTACTGAAAATCTTGCATAACACAAGATACCAATGCCATGCTACAATGCACTGAATTACTCTGGGTGAAATAAGCTGTTCTGAAGAAACTAGTGAAGAATATTAAGGTTTCACAGAGGTGATTTAGACAAAGAATGATATGAGGTTAAATCTCACGCCTTCCAGCTCCTCCTGCAAGACAGCTCGACTTTCAAGAGTAAGCAGTTCCTCATGAATAACAGCTTGCCTTCCTGGGGTGTCGGAACCCAAGATGTCCCTCAGACATTTTTAGAGGTTCCAGGCCTTGTGTCCTAGGGTGACTGTTATGGTGTTTGTATCTCCAATCGTGTGTTCTGTTTACGTTTGATATTATGTTCTGTGCTTTCAGAACTGACTCTGAAAGTGAAGGTTTGTTTTGCTGTGTTATCATCTGGTTCACCTCCCCCCATGTCTGCTGGAAAGCTAGAAAAGGCTAGGGCTGGCTGGCTGGCTTTGCTTTGCTTGCTTGCTTGGCTTGCTTGCTTTGCTTGCTTGCTTGCTTGGCTTGCTTGCTTTGCCTGCTTTCTTGCTTTCTTGCTTTGCTTCCTAGTTAGGTTAAGCAGTCCAATTCTTTCCCTGGACTGTTGTTTTTTTTTTTTTCCCTTTCCTCTTTCTGAATATCATTCAACCTGCTCTGGACTGGGATCTGGGAAACACCAAGGAACACCAGGAGCCTGCATTTGGAGATCTGCAGCAGCCAACCCCAGCGTCCAGACCCAGGCGACCACTCCCAGGAAAGACCTTCTGGATTTGTTCAGCTCTTCAGAGGGGTGAAAGAGTTTTGTTGTCATCTTGTGTTGTTAATTGTTTTGGTGCTGGGGAGTGCTTTGTTGTTGAATAAACAGGTTCTTTTCCACTTCTCTCTCAGA